TGGGCTGTCGGCAATACGTTACGTCCAGCGATTGTATTAAGTGTTGTTGTACGGAGTACGTGTAGTGTTGTATTTTCCTCCTAATGTGGACTTCAAGCTGGTATCAGCATCGGTGGTTCCTACAGTAGCACAGCAGCACTTTGCATAGCTGTTTTGGAGTGTAGGCGGTGTATAAATGGTATTAAGAGGTTTCAAGTTATGGTCTTCAAGACAGTGTTGTGACAGTTCTATGGCCGAGTGGTTAGCATTGCGCACTGCTATTTGGAAAGCCAGGGTTTGAGTACTGGTTCGACCAAACATACAATATTATAAAAAATTAATTTCTAATGACGGTCGCCTCTCGGCAGCCCTCCGAGTGTATTTCTGACATGAAAATCAAATTTCCTCATAAAAATCCATCTGTCCTTCAGAGGCGCCATAGAATAAACTGTAGGTTACTCTATTTGTTGGAAAAATATAAAGACGCAAAATCACAAATTGGAGGTGGAGCTCGGCCGAAAATCGCTATCTACGGCCCGCCAGATGACTGCCTTACATGCCTTTCTTGACGCTCGCTCTAAACCGTTCTGGAAAGCTTTTGATTTTTCTAAGGGAAATTTTGCCGAAAATGTATCATTTTTGGGATACTGTGCGACATGCTTCTTGCGTTCGGCATCTATGTACATGTATGTGTGTAGATAGAGCCTACCAATATTTGCATAAGTAAAATGATATGGAAAACTATGTTGGCAACAGCAAATAACAACAATACGAACAGTAGCAAAATAATTGAATAAAAGCGAAGCAACAGTAGCAGAAAAATAAAACAGCAACATATGTACTATGGGTGTAGGCAACAACAAACAATTTGCTCAAGCAACTCGTCCAGCACGCTGCGCATCACATTCTCAAGTGAGTGCTTGGAATATTAATTATGTGTCGCCAAATCGATAAATGGAAACAAAAAGGTAATAAAAACACAACTAAAAAAACAACAAAAATACAACAACAACAAAATACAACTAAAAAAACCATAACAAAAATACAACTATAAAAAACAACAAATACTCGTATATGAACGCATGTTTGTGTATATCTATATATGTATGTGTGTTCGTATGTTTACATTCATACATATGTGGTATGTATGTATGTGCTTATGCAAATATTTGCTGCCAATAATGTTGTTATTGTTGTATTTATTTTTTACAATTTTTCTTTTGTATAGCAGCATTTAGTGAATTTATAATTGTTATTTTTGCTATTGTTGTTGCTCCTTTAGCTGTTATTACGCTGCTGCTGCTGCTGCTACTGCTGCTGCTGCTGCTATGCGTATTGTTCATGGTGACGAAAACATGTGGATTAACAAGCCATTAGCAGCTACTAAACAACAACAACAACAACAACAACAAACTCGTATTCGCATTCCAGCGGTGAAAAGCGCGTCGTCAACGACATTGGCGGCAAGATCGCATTTGCATTTTGGCGCATTTATATGGCTGCCCAGCGGCTAGAATACGCCAGCAATGTTGTTGGTAGGCACAGATTCTTGCGCCGGTGTGTGCGTGTACTTACATGCATACGTAAACGTATGTGCTTGCGTATGCGTGTCGCGTGATAACTCGCAACGATCAAAGATTTTTCTTTTGCTCGCAATGCTGATTTGCGTTTCGCAACTTCAATAATTGTTATTGTAATTTGAATTGAATTACATATTGTATTATTATTAATTTTTTGCTTAATCGATATTCCACTTATACACCTACGTACATACATACATATTGTTGGGCAAATTTATATAAATATGTATGTATACATATGTACATATGTACGCATTTAGATTTTTTTTTTTTAATTTTTTAATATTACTATTTTTCTTCTACGAGGATATTCAGCCCCTTCTTACTGCTTATTTTGCATTTGGCGATGTATTCAGTTGATTTTGATCGACAGCTGACATTTTATGTCGTTTCTGTCCGAGAGCTGATTCCATATGCTAAGTTGTTTTGAATAACTTGGATTGCCGTAGAAATATACCTTTCATGAAAACGAATTTGATTCTGGATTACCCGAGAACGGAAGATCGGCAAAACAACTGATTGAACCCTGTCCTCCTGTCTGTTTAACGCCCTACAGATTCTTCAATCTCTGAGATATGAAATGAAAATTTTAAATTCAAATATTGAGCCTTCCTTTGACTTCCGTGGGGCTTCGGTTCGGTAGCATCTCACTACTTCCGCAGTAATTGACGGCTGATCGACCAATTCACCTTGGCATGATACGAACGTTTTGTTTGTCTGTTCCTTATAGAAGCGATTTTCGGTCGAGCTCCTCCTCCAAGTGGCAGTTTGAAATTCGATGTTTTACCAACATATGGAGGGACCGACAGTTATTACATGCCGCCACTGATAAAAAATAGACTTAGTCCTCTCTGTCATCGATACAAACCATTGAGCCATTCTTCGATTTCTTTAAAACACCCGAACCGTTGACCTGTCAAATCAATTTGCAAGTCAAAGTAGCCCATAGTCGGAAGGAACAAGTTGACAGGAGTAAGACCACACATTGCGGCGTTTTCAGGTAATTTTTGACCGTTAAAAGCCCGTGGCGATGAGCGTTGTCATTTAAAAAAATACCGTCTCGTCCCTTTTGGTTCTTTCTGGCCGTTTTTCCTGTTTAACCCCAACGAAAGTTGTTTGCTGAGTCTCTTCCAACGACTTTGTAAGTTCTGTTTGCGTTTGACACGGATGTTGATACAGTAAAGCCTCATATTTTTTGGTTTGATCAGGACGCACTTTATCTTCGACAAAATATCACCACTTTTGGGGCACCGAAATCACTCTCTGCATGACTTATCGGTCAGCGCAGATTCACCATATATTTAGAAGTCAAAACTTCTCGCAACGGGTGTTTATTTAACCAAATCCGGAAATTCTCGGAGGGACAAAAAACAATGTTGTAGTCAAAAACAGTCGCTGATGCATACTAATTATTCTTGACAAGATCGTCCATGATTTGCTAGGAGAGCCATCTTTTGAGAACGGACCGTACTAATTTTTACGCCCAATGCATTTAAGTGCGAACCAAGTGGGATAGGGCGAGACTATACGTTGAAATCAATGAATCAGGCCGGTAAAATCTGGTTAACATTTAAATGTTTCAAAAATTGGAGTAGATAAAATCAAAAGCGGAAATTGGCTGAGCTCTGTTCTATTCCAGCGCTTGGAGAGAGCTTAATTCCACGCTGAGTTTAAGTATTAGGTCTAGTAAGGGGTAATCCATTATTTCTGCTTTGGGTGGCCTTAGTGATTCGTATTTCCTGTCTTCTAAATGCGACTGGATTAAGCTGGATGACATTAGAGAGATGATATTTTGTACTAAAAAATATAATGAGAGAAGTGTTGAGCAGCCAAAATTGAACACACATAACATTCCGGTAATTTTAATGTTAGAAATGTCCAACGGTGTGGAAAACCAATTGTAGAAAATGTCGATCAAATAATGGAAATCCTCCAGTATGTCCGTCTTACGAGCACTGTTTCGATTGCCCAGGAGCTAAGCAGTGCACGAAAACAGTTTGGAACCACTTGAAAAGGCTGGATAGACAAAGAAGCTTGATGTATGGGGGTCACATGAGTTAAAGAGAAAAAATCTCGTGGAGTTTCCATTTGCGAATCACTGCTGAATCCATGAAAAACGAATCTAGAAAAAACGGTCAAGAGAAAACGATCTTGGTTGTAGGTTAGTAAGCCGGCACAAACGGCGTTCCAATCAAGATTGACGGCCAGAAAGGTTTTATTGTGTATTTGGCGCGATGGACAAGGAATCATCCACCATGAGATGCTCCAAGACGGACAAACTCTTAATGTAATGGGACCATCTGAAGGAAGAAATCGCTCAGAAGCGCTCAGCTATGGCCAACAGAAGGGGGCTGTGCTTAATTAGGAAAACGCCTGAAGCTCCGAGAGCTTTTTTGGGAGTTTCTTATGCATCTATCTTATAGTCTGGACCTCTCACCAAGTGATTTCTATCTGTTCCTGTCTATGGCGAATGATTTTGTTGGTGAAAAATCGGATTCAAGCGAAGAATGTGAATTGGGACAATTTTTCGCCAATAGGAACACGAGTTTCTATAAGAGAGGCATAACAACTAAATTAAATTCAAAATGACAAAAAGTTTTTGAGAAAACGGTGCATATTTGACATTAATCGGATATTTCTAATTTAGAGCTAAATCCTCTTTTTCTCAAAACCCGATAGTAGTCTTAAAAAATAAATAAATATGAAAATACGAAGGAAAATTTCTGTGTAAAATATGTTTGACCTTGTGGATCAGCTAAGATTACACTTGTTGGCAGATTTCAAAAATATATTTTGGTAACACTGTGTGAAATAACGCTGTTGCTTCAGGTAAAGTCATTCAAAAATTTTTGGAAAAATGTAAAATTTTAAGAGATTTTTTATTTATAAATATTATTTTAAAAAGTATTTCTTTCATTTTATATTTATATAATTTGTAACCGCTGAAGCGATTGTCGGCCGAGCTCCTCCTCCAATTTGTGGTTTTGCATCTTGGTGTTTTTCCAACAAATGGAGGGACCTACGGCTTAAACTAAGCCGCCTCCGATCGGCTAATGTGTTATTTTATGTTAGAAAAACACTCGGAGGAGTTGACATTCCCTGCCGAGGGGCGATCGCAATTAGAAAATGTATTTTAAATTTTTTACATAACTTAAATTTCTTTCATTATATTCTTAAAAACTAGCACCACCTCCATCTAAAAGGATTCAATAGTAAGCATCGAATTTTAATATTTTGTTTTTTTTTTCTATTAGGTAATGGAAATGGAAAATTGGTATTTTAATTCAAAAATGCATTTTCGAAAATTTCCTTTGAGGCGTAATATAATATAAAAATAGTATCTAAGTAAGTATGTATGTATGTACATATATATTTATGTATATTGTATGCATGCACATATAATCTCTGTTTCCCAGAAATTCTTCGAAAACTCACACGCACCTCGGGTTTGTTTACCCATAAATTAAAAACATTTCATTTCTGCTGCCAACGTTTACGTTTATTCGTCCACGCCTCGTTTCAGCTGAAATACAACAATTTGCACTGCATTTATGTTGTTCTATTATTATTATTATTATTATTTTTGTATTGTGTTTCGGTAGCGTAATTAGTCAACTTTTCCACATATTTTTTATTTTTTTTTTTTATTTAATTAAACCATAACAAGAAAGTCTCTTTTCACCTGCGAAAGCACTTTTCTGCATAGCAGTTCCATTTAATTTTTAATTTTTTGTTTTTCTTGTTGTCACTTATTCCCCGTAATAACACGTTTTAGCTATTCCGAAAACGTCCAAAAACCAATTTTCGCTACATACTCGGGCGTAAATATTCGTACTTTGAGTTGATTTGAAAAAATCAGAATTCAATCACGCCCGCCACAAACACAAAACCGTTTCACGCCGAACTGTTTACTCGTCTCCAAAACGAAAATGAAAATAGCTCAGCGTCAGCGTTAATGCGAAGCGTATTTAGGCGGAAAAAAAAGAAAAAATTTTAGAGCGTACGCTGCGAGTATGCTTACGGGGGCGCTAAATAGCTCAAAAACTATGATACAGCGCAGCTAGTCGTTTGGGCAGCTTGCTTTCTGCCTAATCAAACACCTCAGTATCGGCTAGCCACCTCACCGCTGCCACGACCGCATATTAATACGCACGAAGTAATTGCACAAACCTTTGCCGTCCGTTGTGTGGGGGTGTATGCTTGTGTGTGTGTGTGTGTTTGTGTGCCTGTGCTTGCATGTGTTTTGATTTCGATTTGATTTTGAATTTTGTGCGCTTGTGAAGCTCGCCGAATATTGCGTTAAAAGTTGGATTGTGCTCTTTTTCGGGCGCCGCTACTCACGTTGTTCGTTCACTACTGTTTGCAATTGACGCTGCTGACGCCAGGCATGGCGATCACTATCTCAGTTGTATGGTGTACTCTCATCGCGCGCGCGCCTTTTACACACGATTGCTCATTCGGCCATATCGCCGATGGAGTCGTGGATCAGAGTGGATGCCTTTTGGTTGTGTATAGCGTGTTGGCTGGGTTGGCTTGAAGCTAGCTAGCTCGGTGCGATATGCGAAAATATTTATGCTCTTCTTCTTATGAATTCGCACTGATAAATTTGCAAAGATGTTTTCTTTTTTTAGTTGATCTGCCTCCTAACGCGTCATTCGTTTTTTACAGCAGTGCTCTATACAGTTATGCATATGTGTGTGTAAGCATGCAATGTGCGATAGTCGTCATCGTTCCTAATTCTTGACGCAATAGCTGGCATTTGGAGTTGACCGCATTCTTTTGCATCAAAGCGGAAGAACAAAGAGGAGATTTGTGCAGCGCGAAAATATTTTTGCAACAACTTTAACGTTTGTGCTAGCTGAGGTCAGTGGGGTTTATCAGGTTCATGTGAAAATATGGAATTTAAATGGAGTACAATGCTTGTTATGTGAGATGTTTACATGTCCGTAAATATGTTTTTTCCCGCGCCAGACGGCCGTGAGGAGGAAGCTCTAACTACTTGAAAGCTCCAGTTGCGTTAATGCATTAAACAGCTCTCCACTAACAACTATTCTTTCCAGCGGAACTACCATAATTAAGTATAGCTTCGAAGGGCTGGTAAGCACATTGACTTGACTTCATAAACATATACGGCTTGCGAGTTCTAATCTCCAGTCTACCATATTTAAGAGCGGAAGGAAAGACCTTGCTTCCGCTCCTTGCCCTCTCTTGGTGAGCTTAGGCTCATGATCGGAAGGATCTCGTTTCCGATTCATATTCCCGTAACAAAGAGTGTCCCAAAACAAAGTGGGCAGGCGCAAAGCCTTGGTTTCTGCTCCGCTGTGCAGTAAGTAAATTATGCGTGGTCGCCAAAGACGAGTTTTTCAAATTTAACGTGAAAAACAACAACATCTTGAAACCTTAACATATCGACTGGCCTTAAACTTTTATATATATCTTTCGAAAGCAGCCATATCGCCGCATTCAAAACATTTTGGACAATATGCCGAATTATCATGACCAAATCTGATGAGGTGTTTCCGGAAAACACCATGTTCTGCAAGGAATTGCGTCAGAAGGATATCGATGTTCTGTCTACTAAAACAAGGAATGAGGTTGCAATTCCTGCTTTTCATCAGCAACAAACTTCTTTCGTTTCCTGGCCTTAGTACCGACAGCTACACTCTTTTCATGACGCCTGCAATGCTCACTGGGATTTGACCAACTTTGGCTCCAACTGGGAAAGTATTTAACAGGATAGAACTTATGCGATTCGTTTTCAACTTTACATATTACTTTGGCTTTATTGTAAGTTCTAGCTTCAGTATGCCATCAAACATTGAATTCCAAAGAAGAGGGCCATTAACAGAGCTTTGGGGTACGCATGCCGAGATCACATAGACCTCAAATCCGTTATCATCTATGTATCATAGAGCATCATGCCAACTAGCATCGTTTCCACCTTTTGGCCAAAGTAACTTCAGCTCAACACTGCGAACATCTCTAGCCGCATCGAAATCACCAGTTTCTATATATTGTCAGGAATACCATTCGGGTCCAGTGCCTATTAGTCGAGGGTATTTTACTCGGAAACGATACTTCGTCTCGAGTTGTCCTTGTATGTCATCTGTAAAATATTATGTGGCATTGGAGATAAATCCTTCGACCTTCGGGGCACATTGTGATGATTATGTTTCATTCGGAATCTTAGGGTATTTTTGAGGTTTTCTTTCCTCATCACTACTCCACTAACTGTATCTCATGTGCTTAAGTTCGGTCAATGCGATTTCGTTTAAGACTACGCTCTTTACTAAGTTGTATTTTATATTTTCGGACCTTCCTAGCCGCTTTTAGGGCTTCCTGATTTTCATCGAAACTCGAGCTGCCACTCAGAGCTCATTTTATGCTGTTGTTCCTCCAGTTACGCGTTATCTTTGGTTACGCGCGAAAGCATGCTTTGCGTGAGAGAAGCTAAGAGCTAAGCTGAACTCGATGCGATTTTGATTAATAATTCATGCATGAAAAGGTATCGATATTTTGAGTGCCACCTTGCCCTTTTGGACTAGCCATATTTTATAGTTCTATGGTCTTCATCTATAATTGTCGCTGAATTTTTTTGAGGTGCTTCTTATTTATTTTATGACAGAAATGCACTCGGACGAATTGACATTTCCTACGAGAATTTTTTCCAATAATTTTGATTATGGCTTATGGCTCCGTAAATCTATTCAAATTATATAAATTTCAAACGCCCGATTTTATATACTCTTCGAATCTACAGAATAGAACCAGTCCCACAAATGTTTTCTAAAATTACGTCAAGCTTTTTTTGCATCGTGCACCGTGCAAAAATAATTTGAGAAGAGTAACTACGGAATTCAGATGGTAGTAGAACAATCCCTAGAATTTAATACCTAAACTATGATTTTATAATTTTTCATGAAAAAACAACGCATCAAAGCGCACATTTTCTATTTTACTTTCTGCGCATAAATACATTGTTATGTCATTTCATAAAATATCTGCTGGAAGCTTAACACTGATAATTATTCAATATCTAAAATAAGTCTATTTAAAATATATTTTGCTGAATATCTATTTTTTTAAATTAATAATATTCACATTTTATAGTTTAAAATATGGTTTAATGGTTTTGAAAAGATAGTCAAGACGACAACCGGTAGCACCACCTTATCGACTTCTCTTATTGTGAAAGAAAGTTAGAGAAACCATTCTCCTATAGAAGAATATAATATTTATGTCTTCGTTGTTTAAATGAAGCTTACAAATAAAATATAAAGAGCAGAACTAATATTACTACACTTGAAATGTATACAATAACATTTCAATACATTTTCTTTGCCTAAAACCATTCACAGCTTAAATGTAGTACATATGAGTATATTCCTTAAATTTAACTTTTTTTTATTTGTTACTATATTTTATCAATAAGTTTGTATTACTCCATTCTCACCTGTACAACAAACAACAAACACCTGTGTATTCTTTTACGCATAATCATTAATGCGCGATATGGCAATATTATGTACCACCTTCTTCAGTCGGCGCAATCAAGTAATCACCGCTCGTACCAATTAGCGTATTAAGTAAATTGCATTGAAGTAGATGGTCAGCAATTTTGGTAGTGAAGGAATTTATGAAAATATTGCGGTTTTCATTGCTTAAAAGTGCGATAATACACAATTAGTGGTGATTAACCCAATTCTATAAATATATCTGCAAGTGTACACTCCTTAAAATAAATTATACCTATTTTCGCAGTAATAACTGGATTCGGCGAAATTTTCCCAAAATTTTTATCTATTACGCTGTGATGTAATCGCGTGTGACTTGGTTCGACCCACATTTATTATACGCATAGCAAATGAATTTTTGAGTGTTCCTTTCTTTGATTGCAATTATGTTTTTGTGTTTTGAAAGCGGCAAAATAGTTTGTAAAAAGTGTAAATAAATAAACTACCTTAACCTCATTTGGACATAACCTCGTTAATTGTTTGGAAATGAAATTTTAGTTCGATTAAAATTTAGTTGGAATTTTGTTAGTGGTTGTCGGCTAGTTAGCCGATGGTAAGCAGTTCGATTTTGATTATTAGCAGCCATTGTCGATAATATAGTGCGAATGAAAAAAAAAAAAACGAAAAATCAGAAAGAGACAACTTGTGACATCTGCAATCACTTGGACTGGAAAAATGTGTAGTGCTGTCGGACTTTGGTCAAAAAATAATGAATAATTTTTTAAAATTTTTATTTATTAATGTATTTTTGATTAGATTCTATAAGCGAATTCTAATTACTTTATTTTGACTCAAAAATTGACTCACGCATGTAGTGACGAAAGTTTTTCGGCAAATTGAAAACGAATTTTACCGATTAATTTGAAGCTAATTGGCATTATTGTCATTGTCTCGTGGTATATTTTTTGAGCTTAGTGGGGGTTTCAATAATCTTCACCAAACAATTTGCGATTTTAAATGCAAACATTTTAATTATTACAGATTTAAAAAAAGTCAAAGTGATTTGTGTAGTGTGATGGATAGGCAAACATTTCAAATACAATGGATACAAGGAAATAGGGATGATTTAAAAACAGCTGGAGGACGATTGATTGTTAAACCACAAGTCTCTCCGGAAGACGAATTATTGGCCCACAATTTAGTTAGCACAACTGATGAAGCCGCCGCGTATCATTTGGTTTCTGGCGCTGGAGACGATAGCAATGTACCAACTGAAGTAGATATCGATCAAATAGCCGCTGAAAATTTAATATTTATGTCGCGAGAGTGTCAAATGGTCACTGAGATTATTGATGCCACAACGGACGAGAGTGGTACTGTCGTGGTGTCCGCCTCTGATGGCATAGACTGTACAGAGGCATTGCAGCAAGCTGCTGCTGCTGTTATGGCGAATCAGCTGGCTGAGGAGCAAGAGGATGCAGGTGGGGGATTTATAGACAGTTTTGTCGACAATACACCACAAATGGTAACAGAGGAAGTTATAACCGACGACTGGGTACAGCATCAAGGGGAAGAACGGTAGGTTATAATTGTTGTAATTTTAATACTTATGTATATACTCGTAAGTACCTTTCAAACCTACTGTTACAGGGTAGAAATACCAGCGGATCAGATAATTTGTTCGGGTTCACAAGTGTTACTTGATATGGAGGTCCCATTACCAACTGTTCAAGATGAATACACAGCATTACGTCCTTATCCTTGTGATTTCTGCAGCCGACGTTTTCGTAAAAAGACAAGTTTAATGAATCACATTGTAGCACATCAAAACGACAGACCACATTTGTGCAAACTGTGCGGTTCACGTTTCTTCCGACGCTCGGATTTAATAAATCATTTGAAAGCACATGCTGATGCACCAGATCCCGAATTGGATTCCGAATGTAAGTAAAACATAAATAACCTAAAAATGTTAATCAATTTGGTTAATAATTTTCTATTTTAATTTTATCAAATCTGTTTGTTTAGTTATGAATTTCGTTGCGCAAGAACAGCAACAGCTACAGGCGAAACAACCAAATGACCACTACTATGAACAGGATTGGACAACACAAATAAATTCTTTGCCACGTAGCGAAAGATCTAGTCGCAAACCGCATAATGCCAGCGGTAATAGTTCATCTACCTCAACGTCGACGACAGTAGGTCGTGGTCGTATTAGCCGTATAAAGCCAAAAGAAGAACGTTATATACTGGATGAGCCAATGCGGAATGAAATAAACGAGTCGGCGAATATTGACAATCCGTCAAAAGCTTATGAAGACTGCCAGCAACTACAAGCTTCCACAGCTGTTGTTAAATTTACACAAAATCAATCCCCAGCCCATGAACAAAATTTTCCCATTATCGATGAAAGTAAACCGTTTGTTTGTCAGCAATGCGGACTGGCATTCGCACGCGAAAAAGCATTGCTGGCGCATACAAAGGTAAGAATCGCATAGTATTATGATTGAAATTTTGGTAGTTACTTTAAAATTACACATCTTTCAGAATCATCGTGATGATCAGCCGCATGAATGCAGTCACTGCAATGAGATGTTCTGGGATGCTAACGGTTTACAAGAACATCTGAAGACACACCAGTTCGAAGAGAGTAACTCAGAGTACGATCCGGAAGAAGCAGAAGCTGAGGAAACTCAAAGTGAATCCGAATCGGAACGCTTGTATGGGGAGTTCTACTGTAGCGAATGTGGCATGTCTTTTCATCGTGAAGAGCTATTACGTAGACATTCTAAAATTCATGCAAAAACTGTGGGCGAATGTGATGTAGAAAAAGACAAGGACCGGCATTGTTGCAACACTTGTGGTGAAACATTCGCTGAGGCATTAGATTTGTTAGCGCATGCTGAAATACACGCCCGTTATCCGCCATTTAAGTAAGTTTCCACATGTGTGATTATAAACCATTTCTTCTCATTGTTCATCATGTTGCAGATGTGTTCTGTGTGGTGAAACCTTCTTCGAGGAGCTTACTATTAAACGTCATCTGCAGTCTCTGCACCCCAACGATATGACACCCAATTCGTGCATACTTTGTGGTAAGGAATGTCGCGACCGCAAAGCACTGATAAAGCATGCCTGGGATCATTCTCGTGAAAAATGTCACTCATGTTCGAAATGTGGCAAAAACTTTCACAACAAAGCGCGCCTAAAACGCCACATGGCCTCCCATCGAGATAAGTCAGTTATCTGCGATGTCTGTCAAGAGGAATTTCCTGATGGTCGCACGCTTTCTAATCATCGACACTCGCACACCAATGCTTCGGGCAAAATGTTTCCGTGCCATGAGTGTGGCAAAACTTTTGGTTCACGCAGTTCACAACAAATACACGTCCGGATACACACCGGCGAACGGCCGTATGGGTGTCGTTTCTGTTGGAAGGCATTTGCCGATGGTGGCACACTGCGCAAGCACGAACGTATACATACGGGCGAAAAGCCTTACGCTTGCTCGGTATGTGCGCGTGCATTCAATCAGCGTGTTGTGTTGCGCGAGCATATACGATCTCATCACTCGGGCTTGGATGTGAAGCGTAACACTTTCTTTTGTACTGTTTGCTCAATGGATATGCCATCATCACCCGACCTAGTGCAACATTTGATACAACATAGTGATATGAACACTGCCATGCAGAGACAACCAGTGGTAAGAAATAACTACCTTAAAATGCATCTGCACAGTGTGATTATGCTTTTTCTTGCTTTCAGACTGGTCCACGTAAGTATAAACGACGAAGAAAGCTAAAACCACATGAAATTGCGCGTCTACGTCGCGAAAGTCAACAGAACGGTAATGGCAGCGACATTGAGATATCAGACTTCGATATGGACAATGTAGATGATCTCCTGGGCATAACAGATCCAAATGAAGCATCCAAAGCCCCTACAAAATCCAAACGCAGAAACGCCAAACATAACCCTAACAACAGTGCTTTGATAAACGAAGGAATTAATGGCGTCATATTGCCAGATAATGATTTACTTATGGAGCGCCCACGAAAACCGCGTTATAAATCGACGGGCAGTAACTCGGATACATTATGGCAAACCAAGCTCATCAACACGAATTCAGTACTTTCGAATTTAGAAAACACACTGCAAAGTATCGACACACTGGTCGTGGGCTCCTCAGTTAGTGGTACTACTTGCCATGCTGAAGTGGAAGAACGCAAGCCAAGATTTAAATCAGGCGGTGACAATAATAACGGTGGATCACAACGCACGCAAGAAGTGCAGATAAATAAGAATCACAATGGGAATAAAGGACGCAAGCGAACTGAAAAGTCAACAACATCGAAAGTGAGCCGTCCACGCATGATTCACACCGAAAAATGGCCTGCCTCAAGCAATGAAGTTGGACGTAAGCGTTCGAAGACTGTTGTAACGCAAAAGGAAGAAACCGATTTAGATTTATTGTGTCGCACTCGTACAATTGTCGATGATTATGAGATTATTTCACCTGCCACTGAGTTGCCCAAACAGATCAGTTCAAGTCCACCGCGTATCAAGGAGGAGATAATACAAAATAATCACCATGAACATTATCAACAGCAGCGTACCATGCAATATAGTACACAGCGTCTGAGCTCCTCTAGACATGTTGATTTGTATGATGCACAATTCCTTGGCGGTACCTCTACGCTGCGCAAAGAAGCTTATGAGAAATTCAATCCCAGTATAGTTAATGACCTCGAAGAGATTTTACGTTCGCCCATTAAATGTGACCGCACCGAACGCCATCGCTTCATAAGTGAATCCTCTACGCCTTTCCTTGAAGAGGAACAGCATAACATGATAAAAATCGAACCAACCTCGCCCGATTTACGTGAAATCGTTGTTGGCGTAAGCGCTAGTGGTGGCGTGGGTGTGAGTGGGAGCAGCGCCAGTGGCAGCAGCAGTGATCGTCGCAATGCCCGTACACCACGCAGTCGGGCCAGCGTTATTAACCGAAAATACCTCGAATTCGAATCGGATTTGCATAGTAATGGCGTAACCCGAGCACAAAAACGGAACACCACTCATACTGCCAATAGCGGCAATTCAAGAACTAAACAAGCCAGGAGCAATAAAAGAGAGAAAAAAGAAAGTTCCATAAGCAACCAAAGAATTAGCACTTACTCTTCCACATATAGTGGCTCGTTAACTACTACCAATGATTCATCTTTCTCCTCCTTATCACCGACTGAGGGTGTTTCTGCCGTTTTGTCAACATCACGGCCAATATCAACAACGGCAACAACCACACCCGTCACGGCGCCTCAACCTGAACGAAAAGTGCGTTACTTCGAGTGCGAGATGTGTTCAGCTGTTTTTCCGGATCGCGCACAACTGCTGGATCATGTGCCTATACATATATAAGCAAAGGTTTCAAAGTATACCTTTAAAATATTGTTAGGAATTAATGCAAGTTGTAATAGTGTGCCAATGCTTTCGTATTAGTTTTTGAATTGATATTGTTTTAACTTCAAAATTCGTGCATGTATAACATGTACACCGATTTGACTTTTCATGCACAAAAATTGTGTAGAACTTTATTTCTTTTTTTTTTTTAATTTTAGTCTTAAAAAGTTTTATTATTATTTTTATTGATTTCGAAAAGTATTTCATAGAGACATTACTGTTAATTAGTTACTATGCATAACTAAGTTACTACTATCATTAAAAAAGTACGTCAAAACAATGTATTGTAGTTTGTAGTTAGCTAAAAAAAAAACAAAAATAAGAAAACAAAAAATATCCACAGTCTATTACATTTTTATATATGCTTATAGTTAGTATATTGTATAACGTAAAATAGCAAAACTCTGAAAACGTAAGTGACTAATGTTATGACTTAATAAGAAATAAATAGTTGAAGTAATAATTCAAAGAATGAAATAAAAGATTTGTTTTTCTTTACCTCATAATCGCTAATACTGGAACATACAGTGTGCCCATTATGTGCACAAATCATTTTCAAATACTATGAAAATAACCGTTATTTATAATTTTTTCAAAAAGTATTTATTTATTCATCAATAACTATCTTCTGTTCCCTTCAAAGTAATCCCCCTCAGATATAATACACTTATGTCAGCGTTTTTTCCAAGCCTCGAAAAGCTTCTGAAACGCGTTTTTTAGTATTGCCAATAGCTGCTGTTTCGACTTATCTTTTATTTCGTCAAGCGTAGCAAAACGGTTTCCTTTCATCGGTGTCCTCAGTTTTGGGAAGAGGAAAAAGTCAGCGGATGCCAAGTTCGGTGAGTACGGTGGTTGAGGCATAATAACGGTTTTGTTTATGGCCAAAAACTCATGCACAAGCATCGATGTGTGAGCTAGTGATTTATCATGGCACCCATAGTAGACTCGCCAAACGCCACAGTCAACATATCAAATGTCCTTGGCGCATTTAATTTAATTTTTACACAAAATTTAAGACAATTTCTTTGATCCATTTTTTCGAATAGTAAAGAATTGAAGAGCATATCAAAACACGACTAACCTTTTTATCTGTCAAAAACAAACAACCCGACAGTCCAAAATGGCTGTAATTGTCAACATATTATATTGGTCAAGTAAAAAGTTCGTTCGGTTTTTATCTAAGCGATGGCGTTATTGTCCATAGTACTACTGTTAAGTGTCGCATTATGTCATACTATACGGCGCTGAAACGTGTTTATTCGCACTAAAAGTTTGTCTTTGAAAGTTTTTCGCTTGATTGACTCAGTGCGTTGCGAGCGCTCGTCAAAGATGGACACCAGCGAAGAGAAAATTCGCTATATTTTGCAATTTTTCTTCGATCAAGGCGAAAAAGCAGCCAAAGCGGCTGAACAAGTTAATTTAGTTTATGGGCCCGATACTGTAAACGTTTCCAGGGCTAGGTTTCGTTCCGGAAATTTCGATGTCAAAGATGCACCAAGCGTCGGGAGGCCCGTCGTCGAAAATTGCGATAAAATCATGGAAATAGTGGGAGCAGACCGTCACGTGAGCACTTATTTAATTGCTGAGGAACTAAAGATAAGCCAGAAAACCGTTTGGAACCATTTGCAAAATCTTGGATTCAAAAAGAAGCTCGATGTCTGGGTGCCACACGAGCTAACGCAAAAAAAAAACATGATGGACTTTATTTCTATCCGCGTATCGCTACTGAATCGCAACAAAATCGACCCATTTCTGAAGCGGACTGTAACTGGCGATGAAAAATGAGTCACTTTCGACAACATCGAGCCCAAACGGTCGTGGTCAAAGCTCGGGGAAGCAGCCCAGACGGTGGCCAAGACGGGATTGACGGCCAGGAAGGTTATGGCTGTGTGTTTGGTGGGATTGACAAGGAATCATCTACTACGAGATGCACCCCTATGGCCAAACGGTCAATTCGGCTCTATTGGGATGTACGATTGCGCACTATCATAAAGCCAGAAATTGTATTTTTCTTTGCAAACTCATTAGGACTCAGTCTCCTAGCTATCTTTTTTGAAAGTTATCGTTTACTCGGTAATATAATAATAACTTTTCATAAATCACAGCAATCGTCAAGGCTGTTCTTTGTCAATGCTAGCTGATTATGGAGCTCTCTTCCTGTTAATTTAAGGAGGAAATTAAACAGAAGCAAAACATTTCACACTATCTCTGTTGTACTAAGAAATATATAGAACTCTTACTGTACTAATGCTTCGTTATTACTAAATAAAAAAAGGAAATATTGTAAAACCTGCACCCAAAGTGACTGGATTCGAGTCATATGGTCAGGCGAAACAGAAATAAGCCGCCTGGGAAAAGATGTGCGGCAATAGATTTGGTGAGAACCACATGTACCTTTGACTAGCCGCTTTGTTCATAGAAGTTTGGAGAGTACTATGTAATGATGTGAGGGTGTATGAGACTGGAGTGGGTTGGAGTGCGTGTAAGAGTTACCGGCGGGATGATGATTTCGCGTGTTGCCAAAGCTTGGCTTCAAAACAACAGCTTTGAAGTACTCGACTGGCTCCCTCAAACAACAGACCTCAATCCAATCGAACATGTTTGAGTGTCAACGATTTATGGCAGAAGGCTCAAAATGACTTGAAAAATATTAATAGAGATTTCTGCCGGAAGGTAGTCGTGTCCATGCATAAAGGAATTGTAGCAAGAAGCAAAGCAAATGAGGGGCGTCTACGAGATATTTTTAACTATTCTAAGAAAGCAAACATGAGTCTTGAAGAAAAAAATTTTACTTTTAATTTATCACCTTAAATTAAATTGGAGTGGCATTACAAATAAAAAAGTTAATAAGCAAAATCTCATTTTGATACCCAGGTGTGATCAATAGTTGACATACTGTACGTTAAATCCAGTTAATTGAATTCATAAGTGCTGTTGGTCTGTGTATGCTTAAAAGTAATAGAAAGTGTACACATTGTCCTATACAATATATGCAGTTTATATATAAATTTGCATATCAATTAACTAATTAACTTTTGCTATTTGTTTTTAATGAGAGAGAGAGTAATCCGTACTGAGCTCGGTTGCAGGCCGTGAATCTAAGCTCCGCCCAGAGCAACATCTAAGCAAAAATTTTATGATGCATCTCTCTCAATTATACGGTCAAACGAGGGTGCGTTATCATGTATGCGGAAAGAGAGAGTTGTAGGGGGTGATTATGGTTAGGCTTATAAGGAACGGCACGTTCACTAAACAAAGTTACGGGAATGTAATGTTATTAGACAATTAGTAGTTGAGCTATAGTCAACCAAGAAAAATAATCGGGTGGGAAAAGTGACCAGTGGCGACGGTAATGCATGAAATGCGATCGGTTTACGGCGACTCTTGACCGGCAGAAATTATGATTTGCAAGTGTCACAGTATATTTAAATAAGAAAGTTTACTCCCTTAAGGAAGACCCGAGGCTGGATTGGAGCATCGAGATGTCCACTCTAAGACTTATCGGAAAACTTGAAAGAAATGTTCTTGCCGATGCTCGAGAGGAAGAAGAAACAAATCGCAGAAATGATTGGAGTGTCCCATACAATTATTATTAAAGTCTGGGCATGACTAAGACCAGCGTAAGATGGGCGCTAAAAATTGCTCAAGCCTATGTGCTTTTTGTTTTGTTTGTGGAGTATTTACATGCATTTTTGGTTCACTCTAATGAAAAGAGGGATGGTGAAGCCCTGACTGATTATTACCTGCTTCCAATAATGAAAAAAAGAGCTGATGAGTTAAAAAATAAATAGAAGCGCTTCCGCAACCCAATATTTCATTGAATTATTTTTGAAACTTTTCAAAAATATACTTTCTACCATTTATTTTTAAATAAGATTATCTTTTTTTTTTAATTTCTGTTATCGAAAGTTTTATGACACTTTTGGTAATGTGCATGTGCTGTCGCTGATATATGTATTCACATATGTAAATGCTCTGCTAGAAGGCTTCCCATCATTTGAGCCAACATATGTCAGGACTTTCCCATCACTTTCTTAAGGTCGAAATGAACACAGCTGAGCGAAAGCATCGATGTCGAAGGAAATCAGCTTTGACTAAAATTTTTAGATTCAGTCTTTATTCCAATATTTTTACATAGAACAGGTACATGGTTTATATAGCATAGAAAGAAATAACAATACAACAATAAATTCGTTTTCAAAAATCAGCAAAATATTATTTGCAAAACCGTTCTGCATATTCTCTGCATCTTTAATAGTGTCATGTGTGGTGACGCAGTTCCTCAGCTCCACGAACACCTCCATCATAATCGCTGCCGCTGCATGGTGAGAAGCATCCATTCCAGGCAATCTGCTCCATTAACTGAATTTTCCATACAATATGGGGTGCCCTTATATAAAAACAATGTAAAGATTAATAAAAATGAAGTACTTGAATTAATTAATCCAAAATATATTATTACCACTGCTTGTACAGTGTCCTCATCATGTCTTTTTCTCTTCTATATACTACGCAGAAAACGATAATAAATGTCGTTCAACTCGAAAATAAGAACATAAATTAAAACGGATTATCCGTTTAGCTGCATTCTCCTTCAATTTGTAGAATAGAAAGATAACAAAATTTGCTTATGGGTTAGTGCTGCCCGAAATCGTGTGAATTGGTGAACCCATTGGTCAACCCATCAGCCCATTCTTACAGGGTAGGTGCGCGAACATGACACCCTTCTCTTTTTCTGTTTTTAATAAATTTTTTTATAGCATATAAATCACGATTTGCTTCTATTTGCAGATTTTGTGGGCTTCTTATTTTGTTGATTGCACTATGAAAGCTGTTTTTTTATGAGGAGTCTTTATATCATGCCAGATATACACTCGGTGGGGGTTGACATTCCCTGCCGAGGACCGACCGCAATTAGACAATTTAGCTTAATTTTTTATTTAAATTTATTTTCTACAACTTTTGGATGTTGGTCGTACCAAGATTTGAACCTGCGCATTCCGAATGTCACCACGCTTTGCTAACCACTCGGCTAAACCTCGCTAGTAATAAACAGGTGATACACCGTGAAGGTGGGGTTGACTTAAGGGAGGGATGAGCTCCATATCACCATCACCATCATGAAAAGTGCTCAATTGGTTCCCCTATAGTTTTGGCTAGTAACAATACCTTCTCGATCATAGCTGGTTATGGTGCACATATTTGTCCAACTACTCAAGGAAATGGTGAAATGTTAATGAAATTTCTAGAGACGCGATCCGTTTCAGATATTGTTAGGTCTGTGCACTTTTTTCACACCTACACCCACATAAAGTCCAGCTCACATAACAGTTGACCAAGGGAAATATCGTATCAACCAAAAAAGGAGCAGACATGAAAAAATATACCTCCAAAAAATTTCAATAGAGATTATATGATAAATTTCGATTTGAAATTCAGCACAGTCTTAGGTGGAAAAATATCATAGGATCAATTGCAGATG